AACGTTAAAATAGCCTTTCAGACCCTTGCAAACTGTGGACACATTTGAAAAAAACTATTTTTCAATGCAGCGCAAATCAGGAGCAATCAATCTTTGCGGCAAATGATACAGTTTCCAAAATCCGCCCCAGCAACTCCACTCACACTGTGAACATTCAAAAACATCTCACGACGCAGCTAGAAACTCTAACGATGAAACTTTTCTTGTTATTCAAAATTTATATCCAATTTTTCCTGTTATCGGGGTTGACGATAGTGACTGGCACCCACTCTCAAATCGGAATGTATCATTTGAATCCGACGGTAAAAAACTAAGCCGTTTCGATAACAATCTGACGCTAGAGTTCCGAGCAGGCCAGAATTCAAACAGTATTTAGTTTGCTTTGCAGGCACACATCAAAATAGCCCGCAAAACAATCCATCTTGAAGCATGTGAGAGAAATTTCTTAACAAATAATTTAAACTTACCACTTCACGTCTGCTAGATTGCACATTGTAAAGCTGAAATGTTTAAAACAAGATAGATCTTAACATTACTCACCAGGCAGTAGGCGATGACATTCCAATATATTTCACAATTTTACTGGGATCGCTGACATCCTGAACAAGGTCATCCAGATAAACACCTTGGTCCTGGTCCTCCACTGGCTTAGCACGTGGCCAACGAAACCACCCACCCCATGAGGACTGCGTCTTCTTCTCCTCCGCTTTTGCGCTGTTCGTTTGCTCTTCCTTGGCCTTTTCCGTTTCTTCACGTGTTCGTGGAAGCTCACCCCACTTCCATACCATCACATCACTTTTATGCTAAAAATCGGACACAGATTGCGGCTCACACACATTCTGAATAGTTGCGAAACCTTCCTCGCAGCAGCTAGCCCTGCGGATAAGTGCGAAGCAGTTCGCAAAACTAACCGGCTCTGGGGCATCTCGATGTCGGTCTATTTCAGAATCCGATAGTGCTCCATCAGCAATTGCAGGCCCAGGTACTTTCAGGTGATCGTGCTCCGAGGCGCCACTGTCAGCGGACAACGTTGATGCCGCATCATCTGCATCGCTTTCCTGTAAAATGATGTAAAAGAAATCAATTTGATTTCCACAAACGCATCGCTTTCATTACCTCGTTTGTTGAGATGGACATTTTTCGTGCTGTGGCCTTGCTCATTTCATTCGGACGCTTCTTGCGCGATGCGCCTGCCGATGGCGATAAGCTGCGCCTTCCAACCACTGAGTGAGAATGCATGAGCGCCCTGAAAATGCTACTCTGCATCCCTCGAAATACGGGGTTTTTTTCAACTTTTCCATCGCACCACTGACGACATCAAACTGTGATCGCATTACCAGTACTTCACATACCAAAAGCTTCCCCGTTTCTTGAGTCGTGGGGCCACGAACGGTGTAAAAATGTTATGTTGTTGGCAGCCTTTGTTCCATAATTATTTTAATACGAACCCATCTGTTTTGGTGCCAGTTTTGTTGCGCTCCTGTCCCTGTTCATCGATAAGTTCAGTCAAATTGGGCAGCGACCGATTTCGACGTTGGCTGAATAGCGACGCTTTAAAAGGAAGCGATTTTCTATGCTTGCTGCCCAGTCCACTGAAAAAAAAAAAAACTTAATATTAACTTTTTTGACATTTCTATTTGAAGAAAAAAATATGTGGGGAAAAAAAAGATGCTTTGAAACCAACGTATGTTAGAAAGACTGATAAGCAAAACCGTGATTGCGGAGATGGCGAACGTGAACTGGAGCATTCCGACAAAGCCCTTTTGTTGCCCGAACGTGACAACTCGTTCCGAATTTTCTCTATCCTTTCAGCGAGATCCTCAAATTGTCACTACACTTAGAATTTAGCTCAAACAATATCATAAACCGTAAGTTAGACACAACAAATTTACTGCAATACCTTTCCATCCACGGTTGCAGTACCACTGCCCGGAACAGGGCTTGTGACCAGATAGTCAGGAACATCAGCAGCTGTAGTTGGCTCCGTGAAAAACGCCACACCGTTCTCTCCCAGTTTCATTTTCAGATCGATTTCTTCGCCATTTATCGTTATATCCACATACTGCAAAAGAAATAACAATAAATGGCAACGCGCACCAGACTAGCCGGTGCGATCATGCGTTTTGTGCAATTCA